GGGTCAGGAGACAGACCTGTCTCTAGACCGGCTACCGAGCCACTCTCCTCGCCAGTACTTCTTCGCCTGGCTGCTGAAGAGGCGGATGTCTCCCCCCGTTCCTGACCGCCCTCTGTTAGCTCTTCCTCACTGTACAGTGGGGCTGAGCCCACAGCATGCGATACTTCGCTTGGTGAGGGAACACCAAAGGACAGGGGCAGGTCGAGGACACGTGATTTCAGTGGGCTTGCTCCCGGGCCATGCCAACTAACGGTTGTGTCTGACGTACCCACCGACCGTTGGCTGTAGGTGTCAGAGGTGACCTGGGAAGAGGAAGACGACCGAGTCAACCAATCGATGACGGCAGGGTTGTCGGTGGAGACACGACCGCTGGATGACACCGGGAGCACTGGCCTCTGGCTGCGACTAGTGCTGCCTCGACCCCTTCCTCTGCTGCCACGTCTGCTCGCTCCTGAAACATTGCCTCCTCTGCCACTCCTCTGCGTGTTGTCTGACATACTCTTCAATTCAATAAGCACCCCAAAAATAAAACCGGATTTAACTCTTTGAACGTACAATAGTGGTTGTGAAGCAGAAAGTCAGTTTATTTAGCACAATTGGTCAATTGCAGCTTGCCGTTGGCTGAAAACTGTACGTTTATGTCACTGGAATGCACTAATCACCCAAAAAATATTACCGCCACCCGGCGTGTATATGGATTTAACTCTTTGAACGTACAATAGTGGTTGTGAAGCAGAAAGTCAGTTTATTTAGCACAATCGGTCAATTGCAGCTTGCCGTTGGCTGGAAACTGTACGTTTAGGTCACTGGAATGCACTAATCACCCAAAAAATATTACCACCAGCCGGCGTGTAAATGGATTTAACTCTTTGAACGTACAATAGTGGTTGTGAAGCAGAAAGTCAGTTTATTGTACACAATCGGTCAATTGCAGCTTGCCGTTGGCTGGAAACTGTACGTTTATGTCACTGGAATGCACTAAATCACCCAAAAAATATTACCGCCAGCCGGCGTGTAAATGGATTTAACTCTTTGAACGTACAATAGTGGGTTGTGAAGCAGAAAGTCAGTTTATTTAGCACAATCGGTCAATTGCAGCTTGCCGTTGGCTGGAAACTGTACGTTTTATGTCACTGGAATGCACTAATCACCAAAAAAATATTACCGCCACCCGGCGTGTAAATGGATCTAACTCTTTGAACGTACAATAGTGGTTGTGAAGCAGAAAGTCAGTTTTATTTAGCACAATCGGTCAATTGCAGCTTGCCGTTGGCTGGAAACTGTACGTTTATGTCACTGGAATGCACTAATCACCCAAAAAATATTACCGCCACCCGGCGTGTATGTGGATTTAACTCTTTGAACGTACAATAGTGGTTGTGAATGTAATCTGCCATGGGCCCCTGTACCGCCTCCTCATGCTGCTGCCAGGTCCAGAGTCTCTCATGGGTCCCTGTACGGCCTCCCATTGCTGCTGTCTCCATCGCCACACTCTGCCATGTGCCACTTTCAGGTCTCCTCACACTGCTGGTGTGTTCCATTTTGTCATAGGGTGCTGGCAGATTACGGGCCTCCCATTGCTGCTGCCAGGCCCTGTAATCTGCCATGGGCCCCTGTACCGCCTCCTCATGCTGCTGCCAGGTCCAGAGTCTCTCATGGGTCCCTGTACGGCCTCCCATTGCTGCTGTCTCCATCGCCACACTCTGCCATGTGCCACTTTCAGGTCTCCTCACACTGCTGGTGTGTTCCATTTTGTCATAGGGTGCTGGCAGATTACGGGCCTCCCATTGCTGCTGCCAGGCCCGTAATCTGCCATGGGCCCCCGTACCGCCTCCTCATGCTGCTGCCAGGTCCAGAGTCTCTCATGGGTCCCTGTACGGCCTCCCATTGCTGCTGTCTCCATCGCCACACTCTGCCATGTGCCACTTTCAGGTCTCCTCACACTGCTGGTGTGTTCCATTTTGTCATAGGGTGCTGGCAGATTACGGGCCTCCCATTGCTGCTGCCAGGCCCGTAATCTGCCATGGGCCCCTGTACCGCCTCCTCATGCTGCTGCCAGGTCCAGAGTCTCTCATGGGTCCCTGTACGGCCTCCCATTGCTGCTGTCTCCATCGCCACACTCTGCCATGTGCCACTTTCAGGTCTCCTCACACTGCTGGTGTGTTCCATTTTGTCATAGGGTGCTGGCAGATTACGGGCCTCCCATTGCTGCTGCCAGGCCCGTAATCTGCCATGGCCCCTGTACCGCCTCCTCATGCTGCTGCCAGGTCCAGAGTCTCTCATGGGTCCCTGTACGGCCTCCCATTGCTGCTGTCTCCATCGCCACACTCTGCCATGTGCCACTTTCAGGTCTCCTCACACTGCTGGTGTGTGTTCCATTTTGTCATAGGGTGCTGGCAGATTACGGGCCTCCCATTGCTGCTGCCAGGCCCGTAATCTGCCATGGGCCCCTGTACCGCCTCCTCATGCTGCTGCCAGGTCCACAGTGTCTCATGGGTCCCTGTACGGCCTCCCATTGCTGCTGTCTCCATCGCCACACACTGCCATGTGCCACTTTCAGGTCTCCTCACACTGCTGGTGTGTTCCATTTTGTCATAGGGTGCTGGCAGATTACGGGCCTCCCATTGCTGCTGCCAGGCCCGTAATCTGCCATGGGCCCCCGTACCGACTCCTCATGCTGTGACGTTGCAACAAGGTGGAATTCAACCCTACATATGTTAACCCGCCTTTACACACAGCGAAAGGCCATCCATCGATTTCCTGATGTTACAAGCGGATAAAGGTACTCCCCTGTGTAACTTAGATGTCAGCCATTGGCAGCTCATGCGTGACACCTGCCGCTTGCTCAGGCCCTAATTGAGGAGGCCCCCTATACCGTGAGTCGGCAGGACTATGGGATGAACGACGTCATTCCTCTGTTGCACGTCCTGGAACAAATGCTGTTAACAATGGCTGGTCAGGGTGCGGTAGACGTGTGCGCACAGATCTCAACGCCACATGACCCCTGTGGGGGCAGGACAGGAAGAAGAGGAGGAGGTAGAGGAGGACATTGGTGCTCAGGAATTATTGAGTGAAATGGGTGGTTTTTCCACTCAGCGGACAGGAGTGGAGGAGCAGGAGCATCTGGTAGAGGAGGAGGAGGAGACAGAGGACCCAGACGCACCGTGGCAGTATGCTGTGGAGATGGAGGCAGGGAGTCCCTCGCATTCCTTGGCACAAATGGCCCATAGCATGCTCGGTTGCTTGCGTAGCGACAGCCGAATAATAACCATCAGACAGAGGGATGACTTTTGGCTGTCCACCTTGTTGGACCCTCGCTACCGTTCAAAAATGGTGGCCTTTTTCACACCTGCTGAGAGGGAGGCCAAAATAACGTACTATAAAAACCACCTATGTAGTCAGTTGGGCCTCTGCCATTGCTGCGCCAACGTCCATCCTCAGACACTGTGGGCCCTGTGCACTCGCGTTCCGCTGCCATGGCAGCAGGGGAGGGGTGGGGTGGTAGGAGCAGTGGCAGCTCCACCAGCAGCTGCTGCCTCAGTCTGCAGTCGATGATGAGTAGCTTTCTTCACCAGCGCAGTGAGGAAACTACTGGCAACCAGCCGCAGCAGCAGCAGCATCAGGTGGACCTGGAGCAGGACCTCAAACAACAGGCTGGGCCTACTTGGACAGCACCCTGCCAACCGAGGTAGACAATCCCCTTGACTACTGGGCAACGAAACTTGACCTTTGGCCCCAACTAGCTGAATTTGCCCTTGAAAGGCTGTCATGCCCGGCCAGTAGCGTGGCAGATTACGGAGCGCGTGTTTAGTGCGGCAGGAGGTATTGTAACTCCGTGGAGGACACGACTGTCCACCCAAAGTGTGGAGAGACTCACGTTTGTGAAAATGAATCAGGCGTGGATTAGTCTGGATTTCAAACCACCAGTTCCTGACACAACTGACTAAATCCGCCATGAATCATGCCCCAAACATGCTGGTATTCCATTTTTAACATAGGCCTCTGGCAGATTGGCCTTCCCAATTTAAGCTGCATAGGCTTCGCCACTCTGCCATGGGCCCCTGTACCCCTCCTCCTCATGCTGCTGCCAGGTCCAGAGTGTGTCATGGGTCCCTGTACGGCCTCCCATTGCTGCTGTCTCCATCGCCACACTCTGCCATGTGCCACTTTCAGGTCTCCTCACACTGCTGGTGTGTTCCATTTTGTCATAGGGTGCTGGCAGATTACGGGCCTCCCATTGCTGCTGCCAGGCCCTGTAATCTGCCATGGGCCCCTGTACCGCCTCCTCATGCTGCTGCCAGGTCCAGAGTGTCTCATGGGTCCCTGTACGGCCTCCCATTGCTGCTGTCTCCATCGCCACACTCTGCCATGTGCCACTTTCAGGTCTCCTCACACTGCTGGTGTGTTCCATTTTGTCATAGGGTGCTGGCAGATTACGGGCCTCCCATTGCTGCTGCCAGGCCCGTAATCTGCCATGGGCCCCCTGTACCGCCTCCTCATGCTGCTGCCAGGTCCAGAGTCTCTCATGGGTCCCTGTACGGCCTCCCATTGCTGCTGTCTCCATCGCCACACTCTGCCATGTGCCACTTTCAGGTCTCCTCACACTGCTGGTGTGTTCCATTTTGTCATAGGGTGCTGGCAGATTACGGGCCTCCCATTGCTGCTGCCAGGCCCGTAATCTGCCATGGGCCCCCTGTACCGCCTCCTCATGCTGCTGCCAGGTCCAGAGTTCTCATGGGTCCCTGTACGGCCTCCCATTGCTGCTGTCTCCATCGCCACACACTCTGCCATGTGCCACTTTCAGGTCTCCTCACACTGCTGGTGTGTTCCATTTTGTCATAGGGTGCTGGCAGATTACGGGCCTCCCATGCTGCTGCTGCCAGGCCCGTAATCTGCCATGGGCCCCTGTACCGCCTCCTCATGCTGCTGCCAGGTCCAGAGTCTCTCATGGGTCCCTGTACGGCCTCCCATTGCTGCTGTCTCCATCGCCACACTCTGCCATGTGCCACTTTCAGGTCTCCTCACACTGCTGGTGTGTTCCATTTTGTCATAGGGTGCTGGCAGATTACGGGCCTCCCATTGCTGCTGCCAGGCCCGTAATCTGCCATGGGCCCCTGTACCGCCTCCTCATGCTGCTGCCAGGTCCAGAGTGTCTCATGGGTCCCTGTACGGCCTCCCATTGCTGCTGTCTCCATCGCCACACTCTGCCATGTGCCACTTTCAGGTCTCTCTCACACTGCTGTGGTGTGTTCCATTTTGTCATAGGGTGCTGGCAGATTACGGGCCTCCCATTGCTGCTGCCAGGCCTGTAATCTGCCATGGGCCCCTGTACCGCCTCCTCATGCTGCTGCCAGGTCCAGAGTCTCTCATGGGTCCCTGTACGGCCTCCCATTGCTGCTGTCTCCATCGCCACACTCTGCCATGTGCCCACTTTCAGGTCTCCTCACACTGCTGGTGTGTTCCATTTTGTCATAGGGTGCTGGCAGATTACGGGCCTCCCATTGCTGCTGCCAGGCCCGTAATCTGCCATGGGCCCCTGTACCGCCTCCTCATGCTGCTGCCAGGTCCCAGAGTCTCTCATGGGTCCCTGTACGGCCTCCCATTGCTGCTGTCTCCATCGCCACACTCTGCCATGTGCCACTTTCAGGTCTCCTCACACACTGCTGGTGTGTTCCATTTTGTCATAGGGTGCTGGCAGATTACGGGCCTCCCATTGCTGCTGCTGCCAGGCCCGTAATCTGCCATGGGCCCCCGTACCGACTCCTCATGCTGTGACGTTGCAACAAGGTGGAATTCAACCCTACATATGTTAACCCATTGCCTTTACGAACAGCGAAAGGCCATCACCGATTTCCTGATGTTACAAGCGGATAAAGGTACTCCCCTGTGTAACTTAGATGTCAGCCATTGGCAGCTCATGCGTGACACCTGCCGCTTGCTCAGGCCCTTTGAGGAGGCCACGCTATTCGTGAGTCGGCAGGACTATGGGATGAACGACGTCATTCCTCTGTTGCACGTCCTGGAACAAATGCTGTTAACAATGGCTGGTCAGGGTGCGGTAGACGTGGCGCACAGATCTCAACGCCACATGACCCCTGTGGGGGCAGGACAGGAAGAAGAGGAGGAGGTAGAGGAGGACATTGGTGCTCAGGAATTATTGAGTGAAATGGGGGTTTTTTTCCACTCAGCGGACAGGAGTGGAGGAGCAGGAGCATCTGGTAGAGAGGAGGAGGAGGAGACAGAGGACCCAGACGCACCGTGGCAGTATGCTGTGGAGATGGAGGCAGGGAGTCCCCTCGCATTCCTTGGCACAAATGGCCCATAGCATGCTGGTCGTTGTTCCATTTTGCTTGCGTAGCGACAGCCGAATAATAACCATCAGACAGAGGGATGACTTTTGGCTGTCCACCTTGTTGGACCCTCGCTACCGTTCAAAAATGGTGGCCTTTTTCACACCTGCTGAGAGGGAGGCCAAAATAACGTACTATAAAAACCACCTATGTAGTCAGTTGGTCTCTGCCTTTCTGCGCCAACGTCCATCCTCAGACACTGTGGGCCCTGTGCACTCGCGTTCCGCTGCCATGGCAGCAGGGGAGGGGTGGGGTGGTAGGAGCAGTGGCAGCTCCACCAGCAGCAGCTGCCTCAGTCTGCAGTCGATGATGAGTAGCTTTCTCTCACCACCAGCGCAGTGAGGAAACTACTAACCAGCCGCAGCAGCAGCAGCAGCATCAGGTGGACCTGGAGCAGGACCTCAAACAACAGGCTGGGCCTACTTGGACAGCACCCTGCCAACCGAGGTAGACAATCCCCTTGACTACTGGGCAACGAAACTTGACCTTTGGCCCCAACTAGCTGAATTTGCCCTTGAAAGGCTGTCATGCCCGGCCAGTAGCGTGGCATCGGAGCGCGTGTTTAGTGCGGCAGGAGGTATTGTAACTCCGCGGAGGACACGACTGTCCACCCAAAGTGTGGAGAGAGACTGCACGTTTGTGAAAATGAATCAGGCGTGGATTAGTCTGGATTTCAAACCACCAGCCACAGTTCTGACACAACTGACTAAATCCGCCATGAATCATGCCCCAAACATGTTATTCCATTTTTAACATAGGCCTCTGTATGGCCCTTCAATTTAAGCTGCTTACGCTTCGCCACTCTGCCATGGGCCCCTGTACCGCCTCCTCTTGCTGCTGCTGCCAGGTCCAGAGTGTCTCATGGGTCCCTGTACGGCCTCCCATTGCTGCTGACTCCATCGCCACACTCTGCCATGTGCCACTTTCAGGTCTCCTCACACTGCTGGTGTGTTCCATTTTGTCATAGGGTGCTGGCAGATTACGGGCCTCCCATTGCTGCTGCCAGGCCTGTAATCTGCCATGGGCCCCCTGTACCGCCTCCTCATGCTGCTGCCAGGTCCAGAGTCTCTCATGGGTCCCTGTACGGCCTCCCATTGCTGCTGTCTCCATCGCCCACACTCTGCCATGTGCCACTTTCAGGTCTCCTCACACTGCTGGTGTGTTCCATTTTGTCATAGGGTGCTGGCAGATTACGGGCCTCCCATTGCTGCTGCCAGGCCCGTAATCTGCCATGGGCCCCCCCCGTACCGCCTCCTCATGCTGCTGCCAGGTCCAGAGTCTCTCATGGGTCCCTGTACGGCCTCCCATTGCTGCTGTCTCCATCGCCACACTCTGCCATGTGCCACTTTCAGGTCTCCTCACACTGCTGGTGTGTTCCATTTTGTCATAGGGTGCTGGCAGATTACGGGCCTCCCATTGCTGCTGCCAGGCCCGTAATCTGCCATGGGCCCCTGTACCGTACCGCCTCCTCATGCTGCTGCCAGGTCCAGAGAGTCTCTCATGGGTCCCTGTACGGCCTCCCATTGCTGCTGCTGTCTCCATCGCCACACTCTGCCATGTGCCACTTTCAGGTCTCCTCACACTGCTGGTGTGTTCCATTTTTTGTCATAGGGTGCTGGCAGATTTACGGGCCTCCCATTGCTGCTGCCAGGCCCGTAATCTGCCATGGGCCCCTGTACCGCCTCCTCATGCTGCTGCCAGGTCCAGAGTCTCTCATGGGTCCCTGTACGGCCTCCCATTGCTGCTGTCTCCATCGCCACACTCTGCCATGTGCCACTTTCAGGTCTCCTCACACTGCTGGTGTGTTCCATTTTGTCATAGGGTGCTGGCAGATTACGGGCCTCCCATTGCTGCTGCCAGGCCCCGTAATCTGCCATGGGCCCCTGTACCGCCTCCTCATGCTGCTGCCAGGTCCACAGTGTCTCATGGGTCCCTGTACGGCCTCCCATTGCTGCTGTCTCCATCGCCACACTCTGCCATGTGCCACTTTCAGGTCTCCTCACACTGCTGGTGTGTTCCATTTTGTCATAGGGTGCTGGCAGATTACGGGCCTCCCATTGCTGCTGCCAGGCCTGTAATCTGCCATGGGCCCCTGTACCGCCTCCTCATGCTGCTGCCAGGTCCAGAGTCTCTCATGGGTCCCTGTACGGCCTCCCATTGCTGCTGTCTCCATCGCCACACTCTGCCATGTGCCACTTTCAGGTCTCCTCACACTGCTGGTGTGTTCCATTTTGTCATAGGGTGCTGGCAGATTACGGGCCTCCCATTGCTGCTGCCAGGCCCGTATCTGCCATGGGCCCCTGTACCGCCTCCTCATGCTGCTGCCAGGTCCAGAGTCTCTCATGGGTCCCTGTACGGCCTCCCATTGCTGCTGTCTCCATCGCCACACTCTGCCATGTGCCACTTTCAGGTCTCCTCACACTGCTGGTGTGTTCCATTTTGTCATAGGGTGCTGGCAGATTACGGGCCTCCCATTGCTGCTGCCAGGCCCGTAATCTGCCATGGGCCCCCGTACCGACTCCTCATGCTGTGACGTTGCAACAAGGTGGAATTCAACCCTACATATGTTAACCGCCTTTACGAACAGCGAAAGGCCATCACCGATTTCCTGATGTTACAAGCGGATAAAGGTACTCCCCTGTGTAACTTAGATGTCAGCCATTGGCAGCTCATGCGTGACACCTGCCGCTTGCTCAGGCCCTTTGAGGAGGCCACGCTATTCGTGAGTCGGCAGGACTATGGGATGAACGACGTCATTCCTCTGTTGCACGTCCTGGAACAAATCTGTTAACAATGGCTGGTCAGGGTGCGGTAGACGTGGCGCACAGATCTCAACGCCACATGACCCCTGTGGGGGCAGGACAGGAAGAAGAGGAGGAGGTAGAGGAGGACATTGGTGCTCAGGAATTATTGAGTGAAATGGGTGGTTTTTCCACTCAGCGGACAGGAGTGGAGGAGCAGGAGCATCTGGTAGAGGAGGAGGAGGAGGAGACAGAGGACCCAGACGCACCGTGGCAGTATGCTGTGGAGATGGAGGCAGGGAGTCCCTCGCATTCCTTGGCACAAATGGCCCATAGCATGCTCGGTTGCTTGCGTAGCGACAGCCGAATAATAAACCATCAGACAGAGGGATGACTTTTGGCTGTCCACCTTGTTGGACCCTCGCTACCGTTCAAAAATGGTGGCCTTTTTCACACCTGCTGAGAGGGAGGCCAAAATAACGTACTATAAAAACCACCTATGTAGTCAGTTGGTCTCTGCCTTTCTGCGCCAACGTCCATCCTCAGACACTGTGGGCCCTGTGCACTCGCGTTCCGCTGCCATGGCAGCAGGGGAGGGGTGGGGTGGTAGGAGCAGTGGCAGCTCCACCAGCAGCAGCTGCCTCAGTCTGCAGTCTTTGATGAGTAGCTTTCTTCACCAGCGCAGTGAGGAAACTACTAACCAGCCGCAGCAGCAGCAGCATCAGGTGGACCTGGAGCAGGACCTCAAACAACAGGCTCGGGCCTACTTGGACAGCACCCTGCCAACCGAGGTAGACAATCCCCTTGACTACTGGGCAACGAAACTTGACCTTTGGCCCCAACTTGCTGAATTTGCCCTTGAAAGGCTGTCATGCCCGGCCAGTAGCGTGGCATCGGAGCGCGTGTTTTAGTGCGGCAGGAGGTATTGTAACTCCGCGGAGGACACGACTGTCCACCCAAAGTGTGGAGAGACTCACGTTTGTGAAAATGAATCAGGCGTGGATTAGTCTGGATTTCAAACCACCAGTTCCTGACACAACTGACTAAATCCGCCATGAATCATGCCCCAAACATGTTATTATTTTTAACATAGGCCTCTGTATGGCCTTCAATTTAAGCTGCTTACGCTTCGCCACTCTGCCATGGGCCCCTGTACCGCCTCCTCTTGCTGCTGCCAGGTCCAGAGTGTGTCATGGGTCCCTGTACGGCCTCCCATTGCTGCTGACTTCATCGCCAGACTCTGCCATGTGCCACTTTCAGGTCTCCTTACACTGTTGGTGTGTTCCATTTTGTCATAGGGTGCTGGCAGATTACGGGCCTCCCATTGCTGCTGCCAGGCCCGTAATCTGCCATGGGCCCCCGTACCGCCTCCTCATGCTGCTGCCAGGTCCAGAGTGTCTCATGGGTCCCTGTACGGCCTCCCATTGCTGCTGTCTCTCCATCGCCACACTCTGCCATGTGCCACTTTCAGGTCTCCTCACACTGCTGGTGTGTTCCATTTTGTCATAGGGTGCTGGCAGATTACGGGCCTCCCATTGCTGCTGCCAGGCCCGTAATCTGCCATGGGCCCCTGTACCGCCTCCTCATGCTGCTGCCAGGTCCAGAGTGTGTCATGGGTCCCTGTACGGCCTCCCATTGCTGCTGTCTCCATCGCCACACTCTGCCATGTGCCACTTTCAGGTCTCCTCACACTGCTGGTGGGTTCCATTTTTGTCATAGGGTGCTGTATGGCCTCCCATTGCTGCTGCCTCCACCGCCACACTGTGGCTCCACACTCTGGTTTTTGCCCCGTGACTGCCCAAATGAGTGAAGTGTGCGGTGATTCTAAGATCGACGGCACTCATCTGCATGTCATACTGACTGACAGTATTATTTCTCTTCCCCAGCAGACTCCAAGGGCATTTAAATTAAAGGTACAGTGTTCTGCACTAATATAAAGGCTCTCTGAAGCCTAGAAACCCTTTTTATAAGTTAAATTTGCAGCGAATATATTCGCATCGAATCGAATTTATTCCTCGAATTCGCCGAATCAGCCGAATCGAATTTTTGAATACTTCGCTCATCTCTATATATATATACAGTTGCAAGAAAAAGTATGTGAACCCTTGGGATTACGTGGAGTTTTGCATGAATTGGGCATAAAATGTGCTCTGAACGTCATCTAAGTCACAACAATAGAAGAAACACAGTCTGCTAAACATAATACTACACAAACATTAGATGTTGCCATGGTTTAATTGCACATAACATGTAAACATTCACAGTGCAGGGAGGAAAAAGTATGTGAACCTTTGGACTTAATAACTGATTGACCCTCCTTTGGCAGCAATAACCTCAACCAAACGTTTCCTGTAGTTGCAGATCAGACCTGCACAACGATCTGGAGTAATTTTGGACCACTCCTCTTCACAAAACTGTTTCAGTGTAGCAATATTCTTGGGATGTCTGGTGTGAATCGCTCTCTTAAGGTCATGCCACAGCATTTCAATCGGGTTGAGGTCAGGACTCTGACTGGGCCACTCCAGAAGGCGTATTCTGTGCTGTTTATAGCCATTGTTTTGTTGAATTACTTGTATGCTTTGGGTCATTGTCCTGTTGCATCACCCATCCTCTGCGGAGCTTCAGTTGGCGGACAGATGGTCGTACGTTTTCCTGCAAAATGTCTTGATAAACTCTGGAATTCATTTTCCCATCAATGACAACAATCCGTCCAGGCCCTGAGGCAGCAAAGCAGCCCCAAACCATGATGCTCCCTCCACCATGTTTCACAGTGGGGATGAGGTTTTGATGTTGGTGTGCTGCGCCTTTTTTTCTCCACACATAGTGTTGTGTGTTCTTCCCAAACAACTCAATCTTGGTTTCATCTGTCCACAGTATATTTTGCCAGTAGTGCTGTGGAACATCCAGGTGCTCTTTTGCAAACTTCAAACGTGCACGTCTGCAAATGCAATATTCTTTTTGGACAGCAATGGCTTCCTCCGTGGTGTCCTCCCATGTACTCCATTCTTGTTTAATGTTTTTCTTATTGTAGATGTGTCAACAAAAATGTTAGCATGTGCCAGAGATTTCTGTAGGTGTTTAGCTGACACTCTGGGATTCTTCTTTACCTCATGCAGCATTCTGCGCTGTGCCCTTGCAGTCATTTTTACAGGACAACCACGCCTAGGGAGAGTAGCAGCAGTGCTAAACTTTCTCCATTTGTAGACAGTCTGTCTTACCGTGGACACATGAACATTAAGGCTTTTGGAGATACATTTGTAACCCTTTCCAGCTTCATGCAAGTCAACAATTCTTGATCGTAGGTCTTCTGAGAGCTCTTTTCTGCGAGGCATGGTTCACATCAGACAGTGCTTCTTGAAACCAGTAAACCCAAAACAGGTGTGTGTTTTTTAAGCGCAGGACAGCTGTCAGCAACACATCCAATATCATCACACTGATTGGAGTCAAGGTTGGCTCACTCCTGGCTCCAATTAGCTCTGGGAGAAGTCATTAAGCTAGGGCCTCACATACTTTTTCCTCCCTGCACTGTGAATGTTTACATGTTATGTGCAATTAAACCATGGCAACATCTAATGTTTGTGTAGTATTATGTTCAGCAGACTGTGTTCTTCTATTGTTGTGACTTAGATGACGTTCAGAGCACATTTTATGCCCAATTCATGCAAAAATCCACGTAATCCCAAGGGGTTCACATACTTTTTCTTGCAACTGTATATATATATATATATATATTTTTTTTTTTTTTTTTTTTTTTCCATTTGCATACCATTTCATTTTGATGTGCATTGTGTCTTTTAGTTATGTCTAGCGCAGTAATATGTTTATAACTATTTTTATACAATTCTTCTAATTGTTTTGCCAGCTGTTTTTTCTTTTTTGCCTTACACCTGTACGACTTCTATTGGTAGTGCAAACCCGAACTACTATTGAATCATATCACGTCATCCGATTGAAAAAAATACATTAGTTAGTTTTGTTATAACTTTTTTCCGATTTAGGTGACATTCGTTATTATGTGTCATGAAAAAGTATTCATGTTACAACCAAAAACGTAGATGTATTTTATTAGGACTTTATGTGATAGACCAACACAAAGTGGCACATAATTGTGAAGTGGAAAGAAAAATGATAAATGGTTTTCAAAATGTTTT